TCACTGCTCAATTTTCTTTAAATTATGTTTTGCTCTTCGCTGCTCAGCCCTCTTCCTCCTCCACCTCCTCCGCCTCCTCTTTCCCCCCACGTGCCCCACTGTCATTGCTAAGTGTAAAAATGATGGCGCACAGGTCTGGGGACAGCAAGAGGGGCACGGATTCTCCTCCCCTCTATTCACAATTCAGCCATTTGTTGGTCTACTTCTCCAACCACCAACAAAACGAAGCAAGGGCTGAAACGTTATAAAGGAGGTTGCAACAGCCAGATCGCCGCTGCCGCTATTGAGTTTAGGGCGAGCCACAAAATTAGTTTCTTCTTCTTTCGTCGCCTCCCTCCCCCATCTTTCCTCCTTTAAACGCAGACGAAAGCTTTTCGAGTGGTAGGGTGGGGGGTATAAATTGTGGTTCTTCCTGCTTGCCTTTGAATCACATGTATTTTGCATCTGCGAAGTGATGAGGTTCGGATGCAACAGATGTGGCAGTAGGGAAGAATTAACAGGGAAAAAATAAAGGCACTTTACCTCCCTGTGTTTCCTATCTCCATCCCTCCTAACAGCAGGGAAGATTGGGCAGATCTATAAACAAAAGCGAATAGCCACAGCATTGCAAATAGCTAAAGTTTTCCATTCGTTTGTTTTATAGTTAATCTTTCGGGCAGGCACGAAACGGGTAAGTTGGTCGCAATTTCCTGGAATAGTCTGCCACTTGCCCTCGTCAAAATCCAGACAGCTGGTATGTAGCGCATGATGTTAATTCGACTTCTCACTTGCAAGGAGAAAATGAGGCATATTTGTTCAACGCTTTGGTTCATGAGGGCTGATTAGCCAGGATGGCTTCTCCGCCCAAGTTCGTGAGGCTAGTGGAAAATGTAATGCAGCCTGCAAACTTGACGTTGGGTCTTCTTGTCTTTTCACAATCTACACACCTGCTCGTTACAGGTAGAGGAATCTTACAAACGGACACTGGTGGCTAAGATGCAGACAGTTCGCTCTCACGCCCGTCCATGCTACATAATGAAAAGACCGTCTCAATTTTCTCTCTTGCTTAAATCTTCCAAACGGAACAAGCAAACATACTATACAAGCACTGCCTATAGTTGAGGTAAAGATGTGCATAACAGTGCCCTCACTTTATGTTCTGCACGACGCTGCCTTATAGGCGACTATACCCTACAAGACCAAGGTGAAGGAAAAGGCCTTATAGGGTGAATGGTTATCCTTTTATTTTGGTTTAATGAATGGAGAATTAATGAGCTGTGCAATATTCGGGATATAAAGGGGAGAAACGAAAGCGGCGTGGGGGGGGGGGAGAGAAATAATCTGAATTACAACAATTCCGGCTGCGTTTTGCCATTATACCCTGCCCTTTGTGCTCCCATCGTAGAAATCAACACCAAAAACAGAAGTAGCATCCCTATTGTTCGTTCCTGTTATGACCTTAACGGTATTTCAACCTAGGCATTATTTATTTTTTTAAGAGTTAATTGCAGTATAATGCTTTTAAAAGACCAAAGAACACTAGTAAAATCTCCCCCTCCCCCGGCAGGGCTTTGACTGGCACGCGCTCGGAGCCCTGGTTCTTGCATCTCAAGTTTCTGATTGGCTGTGGGGCAACTCCTGCTTGTCCTTTCTCCTCCCTCATTGGGTAAGAGTCCCAGCCAGCGGTACTTCAAAGCAGGCGCTCTCTGCACTTAGGCTGAGTTTAGCGGTCCAGAGCCAGGAGCGTACTTAGTGCAACTGGAGTACAGCGGGAAGCTGGGAGGACGTCGCGCACATTCGCCAGCCTCCCTTCAAGGCACAGCCCTCCTTCCGATCCGATCACCCAGCAAGGGACTTGGCTATGGCTACGTCTATCCTTGGGGTAAGTCAGGGAAGGCTTCTGATACTCACGGAGGTCGATTTTCGTTGTCGTCTCCATCTCCTCCCCCCCCCCCCCCCCCTTTTCGACCCACAGTGTTGATCCAGCAGGAATCAGTTTGTGGTTGCAATCAGGAGAAGAGGTATAAACTGAATGATAAAAGAAAGCTAATCATCTCCTTGAGGGCGTCTTTAAATTCCCGTTTCAGCTTACGACCCTCTTTACTCGCTGCTTTGATTTGTCCTGGCACAAACCGCTCCCCCCCCCCCCTTTTCCATTTTCTTAAATTGACCCCATAGCAATTTCTCGCAGCCTCAGATTTACTGGCGGTCTGGCAGGAAAGTCCTGTGATCGCGCTTACGTGTTCCTCGCGCTTCCTTTTAGCAAGATGGTCCCCTCTTAATGGCTTTAGAGAGAGCTGAGTGCCGCTGTCGCCCGCTCCCCGGGATATTTGCTTTTAAGGTCGGCCTGGCCCGCCATCACTATAAGAGAAATGGACAAACCTCAGCCTTCTCTTTAAGAAAAGTCAGGTATGCGGTTTCCTTGTGTCTTTCTTCATTTCCCTTACGTCTGCCCTAGGGTGTTCTGGACTCTCCTCCTTAAATTCCTTCTCCCTGCGCTCGGCACCATCCCAGGGAGCAAGTGACGTGCCTGGATCGAGCTAGGCGGGACGAGACTGAACCGGAGTTTTCCCTTTGTTTGGTCTTTTCTGAAGGAGGATCCATTGCGCCCAACTTTTCGCAAGGACGCTTCTGATCTGGGCGCTCCCGGGGTCTCCTTCTGTGAGCGTCGCGGCGGGTGAAGGAAGCTGGGCCGCGTCCGATGCGCGCTCAGGGCTAGAGGGCGAGGTTGACGGGCTCGTTTTGTGTCTCCCCCACAGGAAGAGCCACGCTTTGGAACCACGCCCTTGGCCATGCTGGCCGCCACCTGCAACAAGATCGGGAACACCAGCCCGCTCACCACCTTGCCCGAGTCCAGCGCCTTCGCCAAGGGCAGCTTCCACCCCTGGAAACGCTCCACCTCCAGCTGCAATCTGGGCTCCAGCCTGTCCGGCTTCACCGTGGCCACCAGCCGCGGCTCCAGCGGGCTGGCCAGCGGCAGCGGCACAGCCAA